CTCCAGCCCCACTCCCTCCGCGAGGCTGCAGCCCACAGCGACTGGTGGGCGGGTGTCCTGTTCGCTGCCCGCTGCGGCGCACGGGAGGGCAGGTTTCGGAGGCCGGAGAAAATGGGGAGAGCCCCGGCTCCTTCTGCTCCGGGGTTCAGGGGAGCGTCGCTGCGGGCCCCATGGCGGGGGGCGGGGAGTGAAGAGGGGAGCACTCAGTCTCGCCGCGCGGAAGTTTGGGATTTCAGACGATCCCAGAGCCTGGACTTCTGGCAGCGTGGCTTCTAGACCCCTTCCCTCCCCCCACCCTCGATGGCTTTTCCAGGGCCCTTTCAGCCTCCGAGGTGGAGTAGCGCCCCTCCAGCCCCAGGCCAGCAGTTTTCCACCCAGGAAAACCCCGTCGCTCAAGAATTCCACAGTGTTGACCCTAAAGCAGGGTGTTTGCTCCTGGAGGCCATCCCCCACCCCCTTGAGCCTTCATGTGTGGCTGGGGGTGTCTGGGGGGTGGAGGTGGGGAAGCAGGGGTGGGGCACATTCCAGAGTGACAGTTCCAGAGCAGACCTTTGGATGGGGGACTTCCAGGTTTAGAATGTTCTGGAATTTTGGCCCAAATGCGCACCCGTGTGGAGGTCTAGGCTGGGGGTTCCAGGAAACCCCCCAAAATCCTCCACGCCCCCCAACACACTGGCACACCTGGACACTGAGGTAGCTCCTTCCAGGCACCCCTGAGGAAGGAGGATGGATGGGAGAAGGGGAGGGCGGTCAGTGGATCCATCCATCTCTCTGATGGCTGCTGAGTGGCGGCAGGCCCGGGGAGGAAGGAGGATGCTCAGGGTCACTCCTGGGGAGCCTGGTGCCTCCGGGAGGCGCTCTAAGGGTCATGGCCCTCTTAGGAGGTAACCTGGCCGGTCTGTATCTGTTACTCCTGAGCCTGGGAGACCGATGGGCGCAGGGTGTGAAGCGTGGGGTGCTCTTTTGGGGGTGGCTCTCAGGCCTTTTTGTGAATTGAGGGCGAAGGGGAGGAAATTGGCTGCTGGAAAAGTGCGAAGGCGCCGCATCCTTGCTGGGCGAAGCCAGTCGGGGCTGGCTGGGCCCTGAACACACTGGCCCTCGGAGGCCTCTCTGCTCCCCCAAGGGGGAAAGCGGGCAGAAGGGGGTTCTGGAACCGGGTTGGGCGGAGTGGCTGAGCCTGGGGAGAGGCTGGTTTCAGAGGTGATTAAAGATACTTGTGTGGCTGATGGCAGGGAGCGCATGACGCAAAGGGGCCCTTTGGTCCAGGAAAGCATCTATCGGAGGCTGGGGCCGGGTTGCAGCCGAGATGTGGGGGAAACTCGGGGGGCAGAAGGAGGGTCCCCTCCTGGGTCCCACCAAGAACCGTGAGGCAGAAGGTGTGACCCCGAAAGGAAGGAGGCAGGGCTGGCAGGGAAGTGGGCAGAGTCCATCCAGTGAGTGATTTTCAAGTGCCCGCCGTGTCCAAGGCGGGGCGTTCAGTGTGTCTTGCTCGCAACCCTCAGACCTCGGAGCCTGGTAGGGGAGACACGAGCACACACGATTCTCACACTCCGGTCTCCGAAGGCTCAGCCTCGCAGAGCAGGCTCTAGGGACCCAGGGGAGGGAGAGTCTCCAGGCAGAGCTGGGTCCGTTTCACTGAAGTCCATTCCCCCTTCACCATCTTAAAGGTGGCACCCGCTGACTGGCTCAATCTGCACTCCTGGAGGTCAGACTTTTCTGAGTTACCCTCACCAAGTCTCTGGCTGGCTTCCAGGGGTCGCTGTCCTGGGCAGTGGCAAGAGCCGGGTCCACCCGGCCCAATTTCCCCACCGAGTCAGTATATTCTTGTCTCCCCGCTCGCCCTTGCTCGTGCCAGGGAGTGGGAGACAGGAGACCCATCAGGGCGGGAAGATGTGTTGCCTCTGGGGATGGCAAATTTCAAGGCCTCCTGTTACCTGGATGGGGAGGAGGGGCGCGTTCCTGTTTCCTTCTCTGGAAATCCCCTTGTTGGGGCAACCCAGGGGAGACTTGCGGGGGATGGCCCTGGCCCAGGGGTACAGGCAGTAAGGACCAAAGAGCAGGATGGATCGAGGAGGAGTGGCCTGTAAGGGTCGCAGGACTAAGTGAGGCTTGGTGTGGTGTTTTCATAGAGACGTGGCTGTTGTCAGACTTGAACTGGTGGCATAGGCTTAGCATCCTTCCTCCCACGTCCACCCAGGCCGTGGATCTTAGGTTGGAAAGGATCTCTCGGATCGGCCCATTCCGGCTTACCTTGGGTCTGGATCTTGCAGCAGGATGAACGTGTCCTCAGCAAATCGCTTGTCTGTGCCCTGTACCAGACTCAAATCTTAAAGCACAACCCTGTTTATGCCGCCATCAGGCAACAGAGCAGCCTTCAGTGGCTCCCCGCTCTCCCCCTGCCGTTAGAATAATGCTCCAAACGCCTTCCCTGTGGCATTTCTCCTCCGACTCCCGCTAGCAACTCAGCTCACGCGTGGGGAGCTTGGTGGAAGGTCCCGTTCTGCCTTTTTCTGTCCCCTGGGCTGGAGGAGCTTCCTGCTCTGTGTTTCGGTCGTGCCTTCTCTCCCCCAGAGGCCACGTCTGCTGTGTGGCGCTTACCTTATTCCTCACTGTGTAATCTTCTTGTAGATCTATCTTATCTCTCCTGATAGATTTTTTTTAAAAAATGTATTTCTTTATTGATTTCAGAGAGGAAGGAAGAGGGAGAGAGAGAGAGAAACATCAATGATGAGAGAATCATTGATCGGCTGCCCCCTGCACGCCCCCTACTGGGGATCAAGCCCGCAGCCCGGGAAGAGGCGGGTGGATGAATGAGAAGCCCTTGAAGATGTGCAGATGCCGGGAGGCTCAGTCTGGGTGGCCATTCTCAGGTGCGGTTCCTCATCTCCCAACTTCACCCCAAGTGCTGGCTGCCTCGCTGTGAGCCAGAGATGCCCAAGATGGGCCGAGTGCTTAGGATCTTGTATGTAGCATGACACCGTAAAG